ACGGTCGATCTCATGTCTAACTTAATCGTCGGAGGGTCCTCCAGACCAAATCTGGTTGGGAGCGTTCACTGACCAATTGGTTTTTCTTTGCAAAGTACTAGAAGGACCATCTCATCTCACATTTCCTATGGAGAATCCTCTACCTTCCACACCAACAAATAATTTATTTTTATTAATTTTGTAAATACATAAATTTGTTTTAATTTTAAATAAATAAATAAATATATATATATATATATATAATCACTATAAAAAATAATAATAAGAAAACAAACAAAAAAACCCAACCTAACCCAACCCAACACAAAAATATCGATTTGATTCGATTTCACAATCGTTTGATTTTTTTTTTACTTTTTTTTTACTTTTAAAATATATATATATATATTTAAAAAAAATAGAAAGAATGGTGTGAGACTTTTTTTTCTTTGGGAAGGCTAAATCATTATAAATTAAAAAAAATAAGGAAAAAAAAACTTTAAGTCAATGTGAACAAATAACTTTATTTTCAATTCTCTTAAAATTTTCACAACGTGTTTACAAAAATTTCACAATATTATAAGAATAACATGATAATTCCTCAATAATCTTAGGATTGATTTAATAATTTTCTAGGTCATGTACATATGCAAATAAAAATGAGATCAAGAAACATTATTACATTTTCAATTTCCTTGATTAGGAGTAATAATCATTTAGCTTAATCATTATACCCAATCCCTAATGTATATAGGTTGTGTTTTAACTTTAGATTTGTGAAGTGGTTTGCGAAGAATAAAAGAAAATAAAAGATTTTTTTTTTAATTTAAAAAACATGCATATAGTTTCCACTTATTTTTCTTTATCTATCTTTGTTTCTTTCCTTCCTCTTTTTCTCTCCATAAATATAATAGTCAAACACAGTATAAAATTTCATTAATAAGGGATTTATAAAGTATATTTCATTAAAATAAATATAGACAAAATAAGTCCTCTTTACAGTTAAAAAAAAAAAAAAGTTTTGAGTCCTATTATCGTTATATTCATTTATATTGACCTATCTAAATAAAAAAAATTATGAAAAAAGTAACACTTAATTGAGAATTTTTCAGTTAGGCCTATTAAAACAGTCTAAAAGTTAAAAAATCACTACAAAAAATTAATTATTCTCTTTATTTTTTACACATCTTTTTATAAAAAAATTAAAAAAAAAAACCACTAAAAAAATCATCTTTCCAAAATAATCCTTATTGCTGGGGATGTAATCGATTCGGTACGGTTGGTATTTAGGTAAAAAATTTCACCAAACCAATAATATTGGTTTTATTATTTTTAATATTGATATAAACCACTTTTCTCATCAAACCGCATCGAACCAAACCGATTGAAACAGTTCGGTTCAATGTGATTTAATTGGTCTAGGACCTTTCAAACTTGAGTCCCTTTTAAATATAATCATTAATCTATATAAAAATATTAAATTAGTTATTTGTCTACAATTTCAAACATATCCAATCCATCTATTTAATAAATACTTTTCAATTCCAAGATTAACAAAAATAAACACAAAAAGAAGTTAACAAACACTGGTTTTTGGTTTATGTTTACAAATTTTTTTTTTAACAAATACTGGTTTTCAGTAGCGTTTGATAACGTTTACGTTTTTGGTTTATATTTACAAAAATTTTATAAACTGATTTTTGTTTACTTTTTAGAAAAATATAAATTACAAACGTATTTAGTTTAAACAAAATGTTTGAAAATTTTTAAAAACATAAACTAAAAAATATGTTTGTTCAGGCCTAAAATATTTATATTTATTTTTTATTATTTATGACAATGGGATCATACACATTATAATTGAAAAAAAAAATTAATTGAAAAAAAAAGTATTAAAAAAAAAATTTAGTCAAATTTTTAAATTTCTGTTTAAAAACCAATGTAAACTCATTTTTTGAGTTTATGTTTTTTCCTCAAATTTATAAATTGAGACAACCATTTATAAACCAAAAAAATTATCAAACAAATTTTTATGAAAGTTTTTAAAATTTATGTAAATGTAAACTGAAAACAAAATGGTTACCAAACAGGTCCAGGTTTCAAAAATAATGAGTTAGAATTAAGATTATATATAATAAGAGTTTACAAACTTAAGTTATAAAGATAATAAGATTAATTAATTGAGATTAATAATTTATTACACTTATTAATATCATTATATTATTAGATTATATAAATATATTATATATATATTGATTATAAATAATATACATTGAAACGGTCGGTTTCAGTTTAGTTTGGTGTACAAGTGGTTAAACGATACCAACCAAAAAATTAAAAAAAAAAATCAAATTTAAAAACTAAATATACCGATCTTGTTAAAAAAAGACCAATATAACCGATTTAGTTCGATTCAATCCATTGATCAATTTTTTTTATTTTTCTTACCTCCCTACTTATTGCAATCAACCCAATCTGTTAGGTCATTTGGAATCCCAATCAACTCAATTATTTTTTTATTTTTTTATAAAAAAAATTAAAAAAATCACTTCCCAAAACAACCCTTATTTGCAATCAACCCAACTCTCTTAGTCATTTGATTCCCAATCACCAATTGTTCAAATTGGTTTAGTTAGTCACGTGATGAAGCCCTAACAAATCATAGATTACCTGTGGGCGTTTGGATGCAAAGTTCTAAAAAGTCTATTAAACTATGGGTAAATTACATTCACTCTTTCTTAAATTTAGGAAAATACAATTATTCCTATACTTTTAACATAACTATGGGTAAATTACATTCACTCTTCTTAAATTTAGAAAAAAGACAATTATTCCTATACTTTTAACATAATTATATCGACGTCTTAAGGTTAATTCATACAAAATTTAAGTTATTTTTTATCAATAATTCGTTAGTTATATGAATAAAAAAATAATACTATCATTTATTCCTACTATTATATATATATATATATATATATATTTATCTTTATTTATTTTAATATTTATCTAACATTAATATTAATTTTGTAGTTTTAATCATACTAAAAGGTATTTAGTTAATATGTTAAAAATGTAGGATTGACTATATTTTTTTAAACCTCAAATGAGATAAGTATAATTTACCTATAAGCTATTTATCATCAGTTAAAAAGTTAAATATTATATTAAATTTTTGACTTACCAACAAATAATTTATTTTTATTAATTCTTAAATACATAAATTTGTTTTAATTTAAATATATATATATAATATTAAATCACTATAAAAAAAAAACAAACAAACAAACAAACCCAACCTACCCCAAACCCACTAAAATATGAAATGAGGATTGCTAGACCGAATAGCCAATGCACAATCGTTTGAATTTTTTTTTTTTCTTTTTAAAATATATATATATATATATATAGACTGAATGGTGGTGAATACTTTTTTGCTTTGGAAAGGCTAAATGCATTATTAAATTTTTTTAAAAAAAAAAACCTTAAGTCATTGTGAAACAAATAACTTTGATTTTTAATACTCTTAAATTTTTGCATAAGTGGTTACAAAAACTTCACTTATATTATAAGGAATAACATAAATTTCTCATAAAAAATAAAGATAGATAATTATAATAATTAAAAAAAAACAAGTATAAATCCCGTCTACGTCGTGGTATAATTTAGAAAATAACAGCACAATCGGCTGATAAAAAAAGTTATAAGTGAATGAAAAAAATTTATACATTATAATAATTAAAATATTATATTTTTTTATAATTTTATAATTTCTTTTACTGTCATCACTGTGCAATTATTTCTCTATAATTTATATACAAAATATATAAATTTGCTATTAAAAAAAAAAAAAAGAAATGAAAGGTTGCGTTTTGATAGAGTTTTCTAGATATGATTTGATAATAGAGTTATATTTTGAGTTTATGAGTTTTGAAATTATGATTTGAGTGTAAAAAATTTGTTTGGTGAATGAGTTTTGAATTGAGTGAAATTTTTTTGATGTGACATATGATATTTGATACAAAAATTTACAACTCATAACCAAACACACAACTCAAAATTATATTCAAAGCGCTCATAAAATTTTTTAAAAAATTCCGAATTTTTTTTTATTTAGAATATAAAAAATAACATGTGGCATTTGTAAAAAAAAAAAATTTAAAAATGCAATATTCCGATCAACCGGTCGGATGTTCGGGAGGACAACCGATTAGCCCAAATTTTCCCGTCTTGGACAGAGTTTTCAAAAGTGAGTGTGAAATTAATTTTTGAAAATCGTAAATAAATATCATGTGTAAATCAAAGCCTGAAACTAACGTTTCAAAGCTCTACCAAACAGAGCCAAATTTCTCATGTCATTTAGTTGGGGGAGGTAGGTAGATGAAAATACCCGGGAGAAACAATTTGCTAGCGTTTGGTAACATTTATGTTTTTTGTTTATGTTTATAAAAATTTTATGAACTAGTTTTTGTTTATTTTTAGAAAAACATAAATTACAAACGCGTTTGGTTTGAACAAAATATTTAAAAAAATTTAAAAACATAAACTAAAAAATATATTTGTTCAGGCCTAAAATATTTATATTTATTTTTATTATTTATGACAATGGGATTACACACATTATAATTGAAAAAAAAAATTAATTAAAAAAATAATTGAAAAAAAAATTAATTGGCAAAAAAAATATTTGAAAAAAAATTAATTAAAAAAAAATTATTTTAAAAAAATTAATTCAAAAAAAATTTAATTGAAAAAAAAATTATTTGAAAAAAAAATAATTGAAAATAAATTAGTTGAAAAAAAAATTAATTGAAATAAAAAATTTGAAAACTGAAACGTAAACTCATTTTTTGAGTTTTCATTTTTTCCTCAAATTTATAAACTGAGACTACCATTTATAAACAAAAAAAAAATTATCAAACAAATTTTTATGACAATTTTTTAAACTTTTATAAATATAAATTGAAAACGAAATGGTTACCAAACACCTTTATAATCTCTCCCCTGTAGTTTCGGTGTTTGGAGGTTGAAGGTGGTTGGTGGTACACTGGTTGGTGATGCTCCCTCTCTCTCTCTCTTCTCTCTCTCTTCAAGAAATTTGTTTCAAGAGTAGTAGGTAGCTACGGACCAGCCAAACTTGCTCCTCCATCTTCTCTTCATAAGCCCATTTCACTGGTCTCTTTTTACTCCTATTTCAACTGAGGTCCTAGTAATTCCCATTTCTTATTTTTGTTGATTACGTTTTCAGATGCATAATTTTGTTCCAAAATCTTGAAGTTGTAGTAGAGTGAGCTTCCCATTAGAAATCTTTAATCTTTTTGAATATCAAAGACAACTGATTTTCTTGGACCATTATTGGGATGCGTGATTCCTGAATTGGGAATTATCTTTGATTCATAAATTTCATTTATACTTTCAAATTTATGGGATTTTCTTTGTTGGGTTTCTTCACTATTTGATTCTTTTTGTGCAGGGTTGTTGGCTCACTTTGATTGATAGCTCAAAAATGGCACTGGAAGTGGTCAATCCACATGAAGAGGTAATCCCTCTGCAATATATTTAGGCTGTGTTTGCACTATGATTTGGGTAAGGATTTGTGGATGAAAAAGGGAAAAAGTGAGGGAAATGTGAATGAAAACAACTTTTGAGCTTATCCCAATAATGAAATAAATAAATAAATAAAAGATAGAGATAAAGAAATGAGAAAAAACGAAGAAAGATTTCAGATCGTTTTGCCAGGTCCAGGTTATTATACTTGCTATTTAGCTGTTGTTAACATTTCCAGGTTGCTCTTGTTCATGGAATTTCCATGGGTGGAGGTGCATCTTTGATGGTTCCAATGAAGTTCTCAGTGGTCACAGAAAAGGCTCCGAGTATTTGATGCTTCTTAAATTTCAGTTTTTATGGTTGTAATTATTTTGGGCGTGAAATGCTAAATTTCCAATTCTGCACCATTTAACTAGACTTTTCGCTGGTGTGTGAATAGGTTTTTTCCACTCCAGAAGCAAGTATTGGGTTTCATACTGATTGTGGTTTCTCATACATGCTTTCTCATCTTCCTGGGCATTTGGGTAAGCATTCTCCTATCACTTGGGTACTGACATACATCATATATATCAGATTCTTTATTCATCTTATTAATACAGATGAAGTCATATTGATAACAGTGTGGATATGCATGCAGGGGAATTTTTTGCCTTGACAGGAGCGAGGCTGAATGGTAAGGAATTGGTTGCAATTGGACTAGCAACCCATTTTGTCCCTCTTGAGGTGAGTTTTCAACTCTCTTATTCAATTCAGTACCGCTACATCCACACAATTTTTACAATTGAGACTCTTACCGGTAAAAGTTTCCAAAAGAGTCATTCAGGCAAATTCAGGCAAACAAAATTGTGTGGATGAATCATTAATCTATTCAATTATAGTATTCTGCCATTTAATCATGCATGGGAACTTTGTTCTTGGTACCAAGGCAAGCTTATATGAAGTATTAGACGGCTATAGATGCAAAAATTAGTGTTGGTTTCATAATGATAATAATAATAATAATAATGTCCCTATCGGATAAATGTTTGTGAACTATTTGCCTTGAATATGCATTGTCTCCCTACAGCCTGTAACAGTATTTAGTATGACAACTATAAAAGGAGCATAACCTTTAACACTTGTACAAAATTTAATTGACTCGGCTGAAAAATGGTTGTCTTGTGTATGCGTACTATGATTATTATACACTGTTTGTGTTCTAACCATAAAATATGAAGACGTATCAATTGGGCTTAGTGGAATATGCATGGAGGCATGTGAGTGTTCAATTAGTGTTCAACAACAATGTCATGGGTGAAGACAGTGATATCGAAGAACTTGACAAGCAGCACAAAACGGCGGCCTTAATTCTTACAACTATGAAGTATTTGGAACTAGACAACCGAATTACTAATGATTTGAGCATGATGAAGAAAAAAGTTCTTGATAATTTTGGAGCCGACTAGGTGGCGAAAACACAATACAAAATTAAGAAAGTAGTGATAATGGAGATGCGATAATGAATCATGAGCACGGGTGGCAATTGATGAATTGACCCTTTCAAAATTGCCACCGGTGAGGCTTCATTTCACCAGATGATTGGAGTTAATTTAGTTCACTAAAGGACAAAATAAACTAAAAAATTAATAAGATAAAATGTCACATCCAAATTATAATCATTTTACTTTTTTCTTACAAAATTACAAAAAAAAGTAATAAATTCATCCTAAAACAGAATTTTTTTAGCCAGACCAAAATAATTAAAAAGTCAAAAGTCAAATTAAAAACGTTCTTCCCAGACGAAGGCTCAATACATCCTGTTTGACCGCCAGCTTTTTATTTAAAAAAATTAAAATATCACATCATACACATCATTCTATCACTTTTTTTTCCTCACAACTATTTATTTAACTAAAAAATTAATTCCAAACACACTACCCTTTTTACCTCATAAAAAAGCCAATGAATTAAAAAATCACTAAAAAGAGTGAAGTTATCAAAGGAGTAGTGAAAGGAAACAACCAAAAAGGTTTTTTTTGAGGACATAGGAAACTTTATATTAATAAAAACAATAACAGTACATAAACAAGATCCCAAAGAGCCATCCTAACCAAACAACAAAACAAACAAACAAACAAACAAAAAACAAATCCGCCAAAAAAAAAAAAGCTGTAACCAAAGAAGGTTACAAATATTAAATCCAAGAAAATCCTATGGTCCTCACCCCTCAAACGGTGTGTACCACCATATGCAACCGATCATAAATTGACATAATTTTGTCACAAAATTTTGTATCAATCACAAAATATATAATCTCACCACAAATTAACATAATAAAAAAATATCATAATTAAGCCACAAATTTTTGTTACATGAACCACAAAATTTTGAGCATTTTTAATGTTAATTTGTAGCGAAATTACACATTTTATGATAAAATTACGTCAATTGTGGCAGGGTACATATGGTGCATACCCTTGGAGGGTGTGTGCCATTGGTTTCCAATAAATCCATCCCTAATTAATCCTCACACAAAAACCATAAAAAGCAAGTGGGCAAATTTTACCTAATTTCCCCTTGATTTCAATTTGATCCTTATTATTTCAAATGCAATACATTTGTCCTTTAATTTTTGATCTTGTGTTAAATTGATCCAATTTTTAACAATTGATCCATTTTTTAACAGAAAATTGTTACTCACATCCAAGCTAACTGAACAAACACCTATTCAGCAAGAGCAAGCAGCTGCCAACACAGTTGAAACTTTTTCAAAAAAAGAAAAGAGGGAAGATAAGTAAATGGTTCATCTGCAATAGTAAAAACATTTCTTAAACTTATTAAAATCATTTTTTTAACTCATTCAAGAGCGTCTGATTGAGTTAAGAAAGGGAATTCCCCAACAATTCCTCATCAGAAAGCTGTGCCACCCTATTGCAACTAGGACAAACCATGTTGATATAAGGAACTTCCTTCTATTGTATTGCATATCACAAAAATAAATGAGCTTCTCTTTCAGCCTCTAAAATCAACAGTTAAACAAGTCTCAAAAACAGAATATGTACATATAAAGAGTAAACAAAGAGAGAAGCAGAACAATAGTCACAACGCTCGTCTTCTGCCAGCTGATTACTAAATCAAAAGATACACATAAGATATTACTATCATATAAATTCGCTATTTTCTTATTCTTATTATAATTAATGTGGTAGGTAATAATACTTCAATATATAGCATTATATTTCATTTCCAAATTCAGGACCTGAAAAATCTGAACTTGTCCCTCCAAAGATATATTTGACCCTTGCACAATTGTTTAGAACACTTTACTGCATAGTATTCACGAAATGGAAAAATTTCAGGGGATTCTTATAACTGGAAAATTCATTCTTCACTAATCATATCTTGTGGAAAGGCAGGGAAGGGTAAAGAGAGAAATTGAATGTTAAATTAACTGTTGGCAGTGAAGAATCGGAAAAAAGCAAAAAAAAAAACAACCCATGAGCTCAACAAAATACACCCTTGTCTTTGGTCAAGTAACATCCAGATTGTGCATAAGCCAAGATAACTGAAGTAAGTGTAAAGATGTCTATTTGTTGCATTTTTCAACAAGAGCTTTTGGGTAAATTATACGGACTTCCTTTGACAATTGAAATAAATACAGTTAAGCATCTAGTTTGACATACTTACACCCTACTTTCTTATTGTTTAAAATCGCACAAGACATAAAAATGGATGATGTCATCAAAATTTTAATGGAAATAGCAATTGGCCTACATTACAAAATTACTCCAATTGAATCAAATTAGTAACACCTCCATGTAACATAACTGTATATACAATGTAAAAGTAGTTCAAAATGGACAAAGATTGAACCTAATCTTTTCACTTTGTTTCCAACAATTGTTTTATCCTCACAGCTACACCCTGGACTCCACCTAGTGATCATGCACTCTTCAACACTATTAACTCTCCAAACACAATGGAGAAATGACACCAACCATTTTTATCAATTATGAAGAACAATGTCTTTGTAACACAGTGTATTCGAGCTAGAAGACGATGGTAAGCAATGAAGCACGCACCATACTAACATCCCGATCTTACTACACAATATCCTAGAATAAGCCTTGAACAAACCAGGGAATGCTTCTCTCTTGGATTTCATGTACTTGCGTAGTTCCTCATAATTTTTGGTTACGGGGGCACTGGAGGAAATCAAGTGCTAATTTGTTACAATGTTTATAAACAAGAATCAGAGGGTTCTATGAAGGGGGGAAGGAGGTGCAGAAGAGAGAGGGCGATAGATGGAGGTAGGGGTGGGCGTTGGGAGTGTTGAGGAGGTTGTGGTTGGTGCCTAGCCAGAAACTATGGAGAAAGGTGGGGGTACACAGAGGGAGTGGGGCAGGGGTTTGGAAATGGTAGAGGTGAAGAAGAAAACAAAGGGGTTTAGAGATGGTGTAGATGCCTTCATCAAAATAAGGCTCCAGAACCTAATGGATTTGATGGTCAGTGTTTTTGAACTACTTGGAGTATAGTAGGTCATGGTGTTATTCATGTTGTTAATCAAATTTTGAGAATGGTATTTTGACTACGTTAACAATCATTGCTCTGATTCCAAAATAACCTAATTTTAATTCCAAAGGTCCATATTTTGTCCAGTTTTCTGTAATTCTTCTTAGCAACCACACAAATGGTGATAAAGAAATCTCCAAACTAAAGATTAAAGAAGATATTTGGCAAATATGATGCTCACATAACTAATTTTCAAATATACAAACCAAGATACTCTTAGAAAATACAACTAAAATTAACACCAGAAAGAGATAATGGCATAGGCTGAACTTTTCAGTATTCAAGGCATTCTCAAAAGACATACATACTAGAATTGAAATAGAAGTTGCTTAGAGCTATCAATATAATGGATTTAACAAGCATAAACCTAAGCAATAATGAATACTCTAATAAGGTGCAAAAGGTACATCTTGCCTGCACTCATTCTTCTTTGATTTTTATAAATTATATCAGATCCTTGGTTCTTTCAGTCTGCTTCACTTTCTTCGCACAGAATCGATCGCTTATAACCTCATCACAAAAATCTGCCCCTTTATCAAGTAAGACTAGGCTCTCCATGTAAGTATCCACATCAAATGAATACCAACAATCGCAATCTATAGTACCTTGGACACCAAGATATATAATTCGTTTGCTCTGAGGGTCATAAGAAACCAAATATCCCTCCCTCGTCCCCAGAAGAACTTCACCATTCTTTCTCATCCCAATTGGCTTCCTAAAAATCCTCTGGAAAGATCAATTCTAATTTGCCTAACCCAAGAATCTGCCACACCATACTGTTTCATCATCCATATCGAACAATGGGGGGGTTCACCGTAAGATTTACAATGCTGGATCAGACAAAGGGTTTCACCAAACACTACAAGGCTCATCTTTTGCATCAATTTGTCCTCACCAGCTATACCCTCCGGAAATGAAATCTCCTCAAACACCTCATCGTTCATGTCGAATGACACAATCAAATTTCAAAAAATCCCACCATGACCAAAATTATAATCTCATATTTTTGTGTTAAATACTGATAAAAAGAAAAAACCAAAGAATGACAAATAGTAACAGTGAAAAAAATATGAGATTATAATTTTGTGTTAAATAACATCATCAGCAATCCACCCAAGTCCTCAATCTCTTGGGCCCAGTCTGTGGTGGAAAGGTCAGTCCAACCACGATGCTGGATTGGGCCGAGCCACAGGACCTGACCTTTGGATAGGATCCAAAAGGAGGCCGAACCCACACAAAGATATCATATTGGGCCAGACCATCTCTACATGCCATCCCGTAGAGGGCCGAGCTAAGGCACAACAATGCCGAGCCAGAGGAACACACCAGAGAAACGTGGAAGCTGTGAGTACATGCATATGCAAATGGCCACCTCAGCTGGTCCCCTACACCTAGAATCATGGAAACAGTTAATCAAAAGAATATGGTTTGTTATCAGCATGACTACAATGAGTATATGCACCCTATAACAACTACCAGATGGTCCCCTACCTAGGGTAATGCTAAAAGGAAACTAGGCAGTACCAAGCTCCATGAAACCATCTTGGGCAACAAGCAAAGGCTTGAATATAAACCACACTTACTTCACGTTGAAGGCGACTGATCTAAACAAAACCCTACTCACTGAAACTCAACTCTCTACACTTAGAGAGCATTTTACTTCGTCTCTGATTACTCATTCCCACACCAGAGGGGTTATCCAGCCAACCCCGGCCGGGCAGCTCTTACGGTGCTCCTTGCTGCAGGGCCTCAGTCCCTGGATAGTCCAATCGAGTGCAGAGCTCCAACCCACGATCATCTAGTGCAGTATTTGGTACGCACAACTAGTACGGTGAGCGTGGATCGCTTTGTCTCTGAGTTCTGCACTCGATTTCGACGATGGGGATTAAGGACATCCCACATTCTACACAGCCTCCACAGACGGAGAAGACAAAGGACAAAGGCTTGGCACTCCCAATAGTCTTAGAAGAACAAACCAGAAACAATAACCGAACCCCCGAATCTGTTGAGCATCGATTGCCCTTCGTTGGAGGTTCTTCTCATCACTTTCTTCTGGAGAAGGATTACAGGGATCGAATCATAGACTCCATGGGAATGGAGATACAGGAGCTGAAAGCGCAACTCAAAAGGGTGATAGGTGATCCGACGGAGAAGAGGACTGACACAGAGCCCTCTCGCCTACGATAGAGAAGCTCGTCCAGAGAACCACCAGTGAAGAAGATCCCCAGAAATGAGTCTGGGCAGCAGAGCCAGCTAATCCCTGTACAAAGTAAGGCGGCGAGTAGCCCCACAATACAGGAGAAGAGTTAAAAGACAGACAGTTAGCCAGCAAACAGAGTACCCACCTCAAGACCTTCGTACTTGGCTGATTGGCAACAACCAAAATAAGCAACATCGAGATCACCCAGACCGTAACATCCACCAGAGAGAGCACCGAGCGTTAGATAGGCTTGTCTCCTCCCCATTCTCCTCGAAAATCGAGGCCATAAGACCTCCCAAAAAATTCACTCCGCCAAAGTTCACGTCGTACGATGGGAAGTTCGACCCATTGACGCACATCAGCCATTATAGATAGATGATGTCCCTATGGAGCCGAGACGAAGCTCTGATGTGCAAAGTATTCCCGTCTAGCTTGGGGGAATCTGGACTTCGATAGTTCGATCAGTTCATCAGCAACTGGCTGGAATGGCGGTCACCCTGAATCAGTTCATCAGTAAGTCTTCAGATCAATTGAAGCCCTTATTCTAGCTACTGAGGAAAAAGGCTGCGTTTGAATGGGGTCCTGAATGCACCGAAGCATTGCAAGACCTCAAAAGATACTTCATTACACCACCTCTCATGTCCACTCCAGAACCAGGTGAGGAGCTATACTTATGTCTAGCAGTCTCGGATCACGCCGTAAGCACAATATTGATTCGAGAGGTTAACAAGGAACAAAGGCCAGTGTACTATGTTAGCAAGACTCTACTAGATGCCGAGACACGGTATCTACCCTTGGAAAAGTTAGTTTACGCACTGCTCATCACCTCAAGAAAGATGCAGTATTACTTTCAGGGTTACACCATCAATGTCCTCACTGAATTCCCTCTTAGATTTGTCTTCAGCCAAGCTAATTTTTCCGGCCGAACAAGGAAATGGATGGTAGAACTTGGTGAGTTTGACATTCGATATCAACCCATAATAGCAATCAAGGCCCAGGTCCTGGCAGATTTCGTCGCAGAATTCGCTTCCACCCAGAGCACCGAGCCCGAGAACTTCGGTTCGGCATAGGTGCCACGTACCACCGAACTAGGAAAGCAATGCACTTCAGAAGCATGGAAACTCTTTATTGGAAACATCTGGCAGCTCTATGTCGACGGATCATCCAATAACCGAGGCTCGGGAGTAGGGGTAGTACTTGTATCACCAGAAGGCTTTATTTGGGAGCAAGCTCTTAGGCTTGGTTCGAAGACTTCTAACAATGAGGCAGAATATGAAGCACTGTTGGCTGGATTACGCAGTGCCAAACACTTCAGTGCAGAGCAACTCCTGGTTTTCAGCCATTCTCAATTGGTGGCAAATCAACTTACTGGGGTTTACGAAGC